GAACAAGGGGACACTGCATGGTTTAAAATTGGGAAGGGAGTGCATCAGGGTTGTATCCTTTCACCATACTTATTCAATCTGTATGCTGAGCAAATAATCTGAGGAGGTGGATTTTATGAAGAAGAACGTGGCATCATGATTGGAGGAAGGCTCATTACAACCTGCAATATGCAGAGGACACACCTTTGCTTGCTGAGAGTGAGGATGACTTGAAGCATTTACTGATGAAGACTGAAGACTACAGCTGCAGTATGGATTATACTTCAATATAAAAGAAAACAAAAACCCTCACAACTGGCCCAATAAACAGCATCACAATAAATAGAGAAAAGATTGAAGTTGTCAAAGACTTCATGTTACTTGATTCTACAATCAACACCAATGAAAGCAGCAGTCAGGACTTCAGAAGACATATTGCATTGGGCAAATCTGTTGCAAAAGACCTCTTTCAAGTGCTGAAGAGCAAAGATGTCTCCTTGAAGACTAAGGTGCGCCTAACCCAAGCCATGGTATTTTCAATCGCCTCTTATGCATGTGAGAGCTGGACAAAAAGGAAGACTGAAAAAGAGTTGATGCTTTTCAGATGTGGTGTTGGCAAAGAATGCTGAAAGTATTGTGGACTGCTAAAAGGACTAAGAAGTCTGTCCTGGCATAAGTGCAGCTGGAATGCTCCTTGGAAGCGAGAGTGGCCAAACTTCGTCTCACCTACTTTGGTCATGTTGTAAGAAGGGACCAGTCGCTGGAGAAGGATATCATGCTCGGTAAAGTGGAGGGTCAGCAAAAAAGGGGAAGGCCCTCAATGAGATGGAATGACAGAGTGGCTGCTACAATGGGCTCTGGTATAGCAAGGATTGTGAGGCTCGTGCAGGACTAGGCAGTGTTTCGTTCTGTTGTACGTGGGGTTGACAAGAGTCGGAGATGACTCAATGGCACCTAACAACAGCAACAAAATGCTGATCCCCGCTGCCACCATCAGCTACCATTCAAGGGTTTCTCGTGCAGTAACTCAGCAAGCCTTCACAGCCATGTGAGGTGTCCCCATTTCACACCTGGGGAAACTGAGGCTCGGAGAGCTGAACTTACTGGCCCTCAATTCACACAGATGGTGAAGAAGTCAAGACTCCAGCTTGGTCAGAGGGGGATCCGTGCGGGAGATCCTGGACAGAGGGGGAGAACAATGTGGAACAAAACTCAAAATCATAAAAAAGAGACCAGGTTTGCTGCTCTGACGGAGCCTGGTGGAACCACTGAGACTATGGCCCCTAGTTGGAATTGAGTTCAGTCCTGTGGCTTCCAGCCAAACAAAAGAGGTGAACATTGACACTAGGTAAATACACTCTTTGGAGTGATCAATCATGGGAGAATAGAAGGGCTGTGTTTGCACAGGGAGACAGCTCAGGGGACAGGAGTGCATGGAGGGAAGGACACAGGGAAGAGGTAACTATCGGGAGGAAGTGGGAGGGAAGCTGTTGCATTGTGGGAGATGCAATCAATCTCATGAGACAAAGTGTTTATGAACTGCTGTATGGAAGGTGAATTTGCTCTGTAAACTTTTACCCCAATCATAATAAAAATTAAAAAAAAAGAAGAAGAAGAAGAAGAAGAAGAAGGCCTCCTGCTCGGGAGTGGGGTGGGGCATCTGTGTCCAGCACTTTCTCCTCAGTGGTTAGCTGTTGAGGAGATGCCCTGGGCACCCTTGGCCCAAAGGAAACAAGTGCCATCCTGTGCCCCGCCCAGATCGTCTGTGGATCAGACCTCTGGGACCCATAAGGTGTTCATTTGCTGACTGTGGGAACCAGATTGCCAGGCCTTTCTGCCTGGTCCCTCTCAGTCTGGAAGCTTTGCTGAAACCTGCTGAGCGTCCTAACAACATGCAAAGCTCCACTGACGATGGATGAAGTACATTGATGGAAATGGAACCTGGGTTTCCCACATGGGAGGGGAGAATTCCACCGCGGAACCACCACCCTCCCCTTCTTACACCTTACAAACCAAAACCCAAACCCATTTCGGAGAGCCGATTCTGACTCAGCGCCCTTAGAGGGGATAGTAGAATTAATTGCCCCAAAGGAGCTCTGATGGCATAGTGCTTAAGGCATTTGACTGCTACCCAGAAGGCTGGCGGTTCACACCCACCAGCCACTCCTTGGAAGGAAGATGGGGCAGTCTACTTCCGTAGTGATACTGCCTCGGAAACCCAAGCAGGGGGTCGCTATGGGTCGGGTCCGACTCCATGGCAGAGAATTTTTTTTTTTTTTTTTTTTTAAATCTTTACAGAAATAAAACCCAAACCAAACCCACTGCCCTGGAGTCGATTCTGACTCACAGCGCCCCTAGAGGACAGAGTGGAACTGCACCACAGGGTTTCCAAGGCTGTCAATCTTTACAGAAGCCCACTGAGACATCTATCTCCCACGAGTGGGTTTGAACCGCTCGCTTTTTGGTTAGCAGCTCGCAGCTTAACCACTGCACCACCAGTGTCCTTCCTTACTCCCGGGGAAATTGAGGCTCAGAGGGGTGAGGCGGAGAAGTTCCTGGTTGAAGGCCACACCAGAGAGGTGGAATTTGAATCGCAGCTCCCCTCCACCTGCCCCCACCCTCCCAGCCTCGCCCCGCCCGGGGAGTCCCCGGGCTGGGCCAGGCGCCACCTCTCCCTCCCTCTGTCTTTATGGCGGCCAGAGCTTCCACCAGACTTTAGCCCTAGGCGCCGATAAGGCAGGCGGAGCCGGACACAGAGGCCGACAGGCGAAATTCCCCTGCTCCCTGTGCCAGGGGAGTTACCCAGGGGCGGGGAGGGGAGAGGGCAGGGCGAAGGAGGGGTGGGAGCAGGGGAGGGGCAGGCGCACCTGCAGCTCGACAAGGCCTTGAGTGGCTGCTGCGTCCCTTCGCCCTGCCTCAGTTTCCCTCTAGAAAATGGGCGTGGTTCCATGAGTGGAAGCAGGACCTCCATAGCTTTGCGAGAGCGAAGGAGTCCTCCCTGAGTTCTCACCGGGAAGATGAGGGTTTCCTCAATCCAACGGAAGAGACAAATTAACCCAGTCCAGTGGCGTGAGAACCAAGTGTCCAGTCTCCGTTCCCAGTCGGTTGGGGGAGAGAAAGAGGGTCCATTTTGAGGTGTGAGATGGTGACTTTCTAATCTGATGGAGGAGACAGGTACCCCCAATCAAATGGGGTGTCTGTGTGAGGGCCCACAAGTCTTTTTTTGGGGGAAATCTGACAAGTTTCCAAACCAATGGTAGAAATGGGGAGCCCTCAAACGAATGGGGGAGACCAACAACATCACAGCCTGATGGAGGGAGTTCCTGGATGGTTAACGAGCTCTGATGCTACTCGCAAGGTTGGAGGATCGAATCCACTCGGGTCCTTCAAAAGAACAGCCTAGAGATCTGGTTCTGACATTGAAAACCCCAGGGGGCCCAGTTCTGCATTGACATACATGGGGTCGCCATGAGTGCGAAGTGAATTGGACAAAACTTCCCCACCCCCTCAGCCTGATGGGGGAGGTAAGAGGCGCTTGTCTGAAGGGGGAGACATTTGCTCCAGTCTGAGCTTCCTGTGTGACAAGAGGCAGAGAGAGGTGTTTGCAGCGTCCCCACCTTTCTTTCCTGAGCCTTGAGTCGCGGCAGCCCCTGACTGAAGTTCCACCTGCGGAGGGGCCGGGACCTAGGAGAGAAAGGCAAAGGGCATATTATGGCTTTGCACCTGCGGTGGTTGGCGAGTTCCGCCAGGTCCTGGGCCCGAGCACGCGTTTCTGCCCTAAGACACCGCTGACGGTGCGCTGGCGCCACCTAGCGGTGTCTGTGCCCCGAACTTCTCGGAGCTGGAGGAGCGCTGAGCGAGCCCCTAGGGACCAGGGAAGGGTACTGGGGTGGACACGCCCACTCCTTTGACCCTGGGTCCTAGTCCCAAGCCACCCCCTGAAACTGTGGTTTTAGGGCTTCGCTACGTTCATCCTCCAGGTGCCAACCCGAGGGGCCTTTTGACATGCACGCCTGATCGGGCATCTCTCCTGTTCTCAACTCTTCCGAGGCTCCCCAGTGCTTTGGAAGGAGGCCCACACGTGGACCACGGGCCGGCTTCTCTAGCCTCACCTGAACCACCCTGAAGGTCCAGGCGCACGAGGAGCCTGTCAGTTTCAGAACTTACTCGCAGGCCTTTGCACAGGCTGTTCCCTGTGCCTGGAACACCCTTCCTTGCCTCCCCCCCCCCCCAGCATCTCTCTTACTTCTCCTTCAGGGCTTGGAGTAGATGCCTTCTCCAGGAGCCCCTGCCTGACCCCTAGGTCAGGGTCACCGTCCAGTGAGGCCGTTGTGGTCACTGCTGTGTCCCCACAGGACCTGGCACTGATGATGCACTGAGGAAGGTTAGTTCAATGAATGAATGAATGAATGAATACCAGGTTAAAGGGTTTGCTAGGGCGTCCGTAACCAAAGCCTATTGCTGTTGAATCAAGTCCGACTCACAGCGCCCCTAGGACTGCCCCGTAGAGTTTCCAAGGTTGTAATCCTTATGGGAGCTGACTGCCTCATCCTTCTCCCTCAGAGCTGCTGGTACGTTCCTGCTGACCCTCCCCTTTCAGTGAGCCTCTGAGCGCTTCACCACTGCACCCCAGGGCCCCTTAGGGCAGCCGTAGGAGAACTGAATCAGTGGGTGGCAAAGTCAGGTTTACAAGTCCCCAGGCTCCCTCTTAACCTTGAGTCTTAGCACATACTGTTCCCTCTGCCCATATCATTCCTACCTATTAACTTCCACTCGTCCTCCAGGTCTCAGATGAGCTGCCTCCTTCTCCAGGAAGCCCTCCCTGATCCCAGGCTGGGTCAAGTCAGCCCCCTGGGTTCCCCCATCTCAGCCCTGAGCCTTGCTGGGGACAATCTGTCCCTTTCACTAGAACCCCCCCCCCCAGAAGGTGGGGCCAGCTTCTGTTCACCCTTCCTCTACTCCTCAGCACTTACAACAGAGACCTTCTGTCAGGACCTGGGTTCAAATCCCGACACCTGCATTCGTGGAGTAAGCAATGAGCTCTCTGGAGCCCAGTTTTCTCGTGTGAAAAGTGGAGACAGTGGATGCTTCCCCGTCTCTTGCAGGGCTGTGGTTGAGCACTGAGGGGATGGGACGCTGGTGTCCTGAGTTGACCACATGCCAGGTGACTGCGGGAGACCCACTTCCCCTTTTGGGGCCCATGTGGCTGGATGAACGGTGGAGCAGAGGTCCCGTCCTGCTGGGACATTCTAGAAGGCCGGCATGGGGCTTCCCGGGGCGGGAGGGTCAGGGACAGGCAGAGGGAAGAGATGTCTGCTGGGTTAGGGGAAAACCAGCCTTTCCCATCATAAAACGGATGACGCCGGGGAAACAAACAAGGCCTGGCCCTTTGGGTGGTGAGGGGAAGTTAGGGGAGAGGATCGGGGCCCCGTGAGGTGGGTGAAAACCGCGATGCACTCTGGCCGCCAACTTCCCCCTCAGGCGACTCTTCCCCTCACAGGCCCCTCAGAAGAGACCTCCCGCCCTGCTTGCCTGCAGCCTTCCTGTCTCAGAGCTGCTCAGGCCCAAACTTGGAGACCCCAGGACTCCTCTCTCCCCGCCTCACGCCACAGCCAACTCATCAGCAAATGCTGTCGGCTCCACCTTCAAAGTCTCTGCCCACCCCCACGGCCATCACCTCCTGCCTGCACCCCACTTGCCTCCCCACTGGGCTCCCCGCCCTTACCCCTGCTCCTCAAAGCCTCTCTGGCCTCACCCGATCCCCCCTGAGCATTGCTGGAGCCTGTCAGGCTCAGAACTTACCCACAGGCTCTTGCACAGGCTATGCCCTGGGCCTGGAACACCCTTCCCTGCCTCTCCCCCAGCATCTCTCTGACTCCTCCTTCAGGGCTTGGAGTACATTCCTTCTCCTCTGGGAGCCCCTGCCTGACCCCTTGATCAGGGTCACAGCCCAGAGAGGCTGTGGTGGTCACTGCCGACTCCATGTAGCCAGAGGGATTGTGGTAGAAACTGAGTCAGACCCTGTCAGCTCCCACATGACCTGGGGTCATAGCCACAGCCCACTGGGACCCGCCAGATCTGGTCCCTGCTTCCTTTCTGCCCTCATCTGCTCCAACCTCCCCCTGGCTTCTTGCACTCCAGCCGCATCGGACTTGAACTTGCCTTCCTGCCCCCTGGCCTTTGCACAGGCTATGCCCTCTTTTTGGAACACTCTTCCCTGCCAGCTTTCCTCCCGGCTTCTCTGATTGGTCAGGTAGACTGAATAGTGCTTGGATGGGGAGACCCTGAGTGGTTCCAATGGCCAACACACTCAGCCACTAACCAAGAGTTTGGAGGTTCGAATCCATTCAAAGTTGCCTCAGAAGAAAGGCCTGGTGATCTTCTGTGGAATCCCTATAGAGCACAGTTTTACTCTGACACACACGGGAGGTGAGGCGACAGGACACTGGTCACCGTGCTGCACCCCCCCCCC